TGGGGTACCCTTTTCATACCTAGCACAGCAAAAGGGTACCAAAAGGCGGAGCTAGACACGCAACTGAACGCTATTGGTTTACAGAGATCCGTCACTCGCTTGTGTAACAAGCCAGAATGAAAACAAAGGAACCACCATGTTTTAAATACAGCCAAGGTTAGTAATGAACATTTACACAGAAGTATTTGTGTATAAAGCCTCTGTTTTTTGAGAAGTGTTTCTCATATGATATGTGAACAACCGGTACAGCTTTAATTTGACATTTCCTAGAGTGAGAATGACGTCGACTGAAACTTTCTGTCGAACACCATGCCCACCAAAACAGTATCATTGATGTCCCTTTAGCAGTGGAAACGCAAGCCTGATAGAGCTGACCCGTACCGACCCATATTGTACCGTACCGTACTGTACCACTGAGTGGAAACGGGCCATTAGTTCAAACCTGGTCTGGAGTAGCTTATTTCAGGATTAGATTGGCTCATTTCAAGCAAAGGAGATACTGAAAGTATGTACTGAATCCTGATAATTATTTACAATGGTAACCTATTGGTTATATATACTCGAGAAAATAGTAGAATAGACCCCAGATTGACAAAGCCATTGCATGGTATGTTTTTAAAACATGCAGCATGTCTTTACTGTGGGGTCACCAGCTTTCAGGCAGCTTGTTAGTATGATACCATGTCCAGGCTAATGGAAAAAACTACTTGGATGAGGAAAATTCAAACATGGAGAGCTAAAGACAACATTTGAGGGTCTGTTCATGGCAAAAAAAAATCTTTCTTGTTTTCATTTTTGTACTGCTGGTCTGACTTAAATAAATTGTTGATTTAAAATTACTGTTTGTTAATTAAAACTGTGAAGCTGATCAACAGTTTATTTTTCATTCACCCTGAAGTAATCAACAAAGTGATTGAGTTACTTTTTGAATAAAGTAACTAGTAAATTTAATTTGTTACTAATTTTCAGTAACTAGAACACAACACTGATTATATGAGGCATGAAACTACAACAAACTAAAATTCAGAGTCACTGCCATCAAAACGCTTTAAAACGTCTGCTTTATACAACATAGGCTCAATCTGAAAACGTTGCCCTATATACGTTTCTGGAGATCGCAAATTAAGTAGTGAGAAGTATGTACGGCTGCATTTTAAAATGAATGTTCTGGGGCAGTATGACATCATACCATTTCGCGCTTACCAGCTGACTGATTACCTCTATATGAATAGCTTTCCAGCTGTTAACCAGTTTGTTAGCTCGCCATGTACGTCGGTGGATTTGACATGCAGAGAGGAGTTGTCTACGATGACGGGATTCAAGTCTGGTGAAGAACAGTTCCAGAAAGCAGGTAAGATAAAAACAGGAGCCAAAAAATAAAGTAAACAAATAAATAACAGGGTGAGAATGTGGTAAAATCTGAAAATGTGGTAAAAATCTGACGAGAGCTTTTTTTTTCTGGATTGCCCAACTGTTGGTCAATTGGTGCTATTTAAAACTCTATTAGTTGGGTTTATGGAAGGAGGGCGGTGGGTCAGTCGATGGCTCAGTCAGTCAGACTTTCAGTCAGTCGACAGCAGCCTCTGGTGGATTTAACAGAGAACAGCAGGTGCGAATGGCACTCACGAAAGAAATTTGAGATCTGAAAAAGCATACCCAGTGGCCTTTGGTGGATTCTCAAAAACAAAAACTGCAAAAAAAAAAAAAAAAGTAGCTCCTGTGATATAATTGGCGCTCTCCTGAAATGTGAATATCTGTAAGTTTTCAGAATGAGTCTGGGGTGGTTTTTACAGTGTACAATCTTCTTGGTTCTGAGACATGAAGTACAACAAACTAAAATTTAGAGTCACTGCCATTAAAACGCTTTAAAACGTCTGCTTTATAGCTTACTGATTAGCTTTTTTCCTAAACAACTTGCAATGGACGACAACCTTGGTAACAGATTGCAGGCAACATTACCCAACTCTGCTAAAATTATCAGCACCAACAAAAGCTGTTGTTCTATAGCATAGAGCATTTATGAGTAATCCGGAACAGATCCAAAGTGGCACCAGGATGCTGCTAACCTAAAGTGGGATGTGATAAAGCCCTACAATGTCGTTCAAGTGAGTGACTGAGGTGTTTGGCAGGAGTGCGCTGGCACTGCCCGACACAAAACCATGCATGACTGAACTGCTCTTTGCTAATTCTCATTACTTTATTTTATTCTTATGCAGAAGTGGAAAGAGTACTGAAAAAATATACTCCAGTAAAAGCAACATTACTTTCCAAAAAGAATCTCTTGTAAATACTACTCAAAAAGTACACTACCCAAGAGTAGTGAGCATTACGCTGTGAAAAAATGAGGCAAAAATCTAGCTGTGACAATATGTTTAGACTTCAGAACCCTGACTAATGAATGACTAGCATTTGGAGTTACAAACCAAGCTCGTGCAGCCCTGATAGAAAACAAGCAGTTGGTGAATGTGTGTGAAAACAACAATCTGTACTGTTTAAGGCCATTTGGTGATTTCAGTAATCATGTAGGCATCATTCATCATGCTGGAGAAACAGTCTCTTCCTCATTGCATGTAATCCTTTAGCATCTTCTCGGACACTTTTAATGCTTCTGCTCTGTACATGTTTGGTGCATTTATACAGTGGCTGTGTCTTGAGGCTGGTCAGCGTGATGCAATTGATTGGATGGGAATCACAAGATTGATTAGTCTACTTATCACATGGAAAATAGTAAAGTAAAAGCATAGCACTAAAAATATACTCAAGTAACCGTACACATTTACGTTAGACATGTAAAATATCCTCAATAGTTATTTAACCCCCATCTGTGACAGCCTGGTTTGAAGATGTGATGTCTTTTCTAAAACTAGAAAAGATTAAATACACATCAAGGGGTTTGATAGACAAGTTCTATATGTACTGGGAACCTATTTTATCATATTTTAAAAATCTGAAAGCATCTGTGGTTAAATAATTTGTATATCTCTTGGTATCATGGTGTTTCTTGTCTTTAATGTAATTTTTGTACTTTTATTTAGTTTTCTTCCCCTGTTATTTGTAATAAAAAAATGTCTTTCTTCTATCAGCACTGTTATGTCACGACATGCATGACACTAATTACCATATTTGATTCTAACTATTGTGTTAAGCTTTGGATGTTCAGTTCTTGGGGTGGGAATAGAAAGAAGAAAACTGTAATGTTTATTTTTGTATTGTATGAATACATTTTTACCCTCAACTAAAAAAAAAGTAAAAATAGTTATTTTGTGTAATTTGAATTCATTTTATTACACCACTGTTTTATGTCAATCTTTCAACTAATTGAAAGAGTTAAGAAAAAACTTAATTTGATGTTAATTTTAAAAATCCTAGTGTGAAGTTTGAAACAGATAGTTCAACTGGGTGGTTGCTAGGGTATACAGGTGATTGCTACCCTGTAAAAAAATACAGCTGGGTTACTTCAATTTAAATTTGGATAATATACATAGACAATATAGACAAGCCCATAGACAAGTCCAAATGTTGGGTTAAAGATGGCTTATAAGTGTAACTTTAAAAATGTAACCTAGTTTGTGCAGTAGGGTGTTTAAACGGGGTTGTGTAACAGTTGCTAGGGTTTTCGATGAGGATGTTTTTTTGGGTGTCTTCTATACAGTTGCGAGGGTACTTTTTTGAAGCTTCTATTGGTTTCTATAGTTCTAGGTAGCTGCTAGAGTGATAATGAAGTTGCTAGTTCTCATTGTTAAGTGGTGACGTGTTTGTGACGTATGTAATACTGTTTCCGGGTCCAAGCCGCCACTCGTTTGAGGGGAGAAATCATTCGTTTATGATCACGTTTTATTCCTATCACACATTAAAGTTAATTTTATATAGAATCATAGTGTACACAACAATCTCTGGGCTTGCTGCATAACAAATACCAAAAATGTAACAATTTATAAAAAATAATTACTTTCTGGCCATCGGATATTTGGCATGGACATATATACTGCAATCGGGATTTTCGAAAGCCCTAAATCGCTTTGTAAACGTTTATTATTACAATTTCAAAAAAGCGTGACGTCACACTTAACAAGCGGATTGTATACCCGATGTATTCAAATTGTTAGGTTGTCTGACAGACAGACAGACAGACAGACAGACAGACATACATACATACATACATACATACATACATACATACATACATACAGACAGACAGACAGACAGACAGAATATTGAGTGGGGGCGGGGTTGATTTGTGCACTCCTCTCATCATTCACTCACAGCAAACCAATGTTTGTTGGGGCGTGGCTAAGCAAGAAGATTGCCATTCCAGAGCGGAAGCGAATGGATAGATTTGATTAAAGATTACCAAAATAAAGTATTTTTCAGTGAATCAACTAAGCCATTGTTCACTTTAAGACTAACAATGTGCACTAGCAAAATAAACACAGTAAATATTGATTTAATGCAAGTGTTTATTTGGTTTAGATGGAAGCTTAAATGACTCAAAATAAACACTGGATGGTTTAAAAGAGTCTATATGACTCAGAACTATTAAATTAGATAGATTAGATTAGAAATCTAGATTAGATTAGAAATACAAGAGAGAGCAAACTACCATAACTAACCTAAAGTGGGATGTGATAAAGCCATACTATGGTATTCAAATGAGTGACTGAGGTGTTTGGCAGGAGTATGCTGGCACTGCTTGACACAAAACCATGGATGACTGAACTAACAGTTTCCCTCTGTTCAGTATCTCTTTACATCAAAATCCTTTATCCTTCCGACAATATATTTGCATTCTTTTTTAATACAATTACACTTCCTGGCCATAACAGGATGATTAAAACAATGACTTACAACAGCCAACAATCAAGCCTTGATTCGTGTGTCAAGTTTCATGCATCTCTGTCAACTTATCAGAGCAGCAAGACAAGTTATATAAAAATAACCCCTTAACATAATGCATAACCATGAACGTGGCATTAAAAATTAAAAAACGCATTAAGACTCACCAGTCAAACGCTTCCAAACGTCCACAGCTCAAATCAAGCATTAATCAGCAGAGGAAAACCATAGCATGACAAACATTCACAATGACATGCACGCATGCTGATGGGATGGAGGCCTCTCTTGCCACCTTCTGTACCAGGCGGGGTGGGCCGGACGGGGGAGGAGGAGGACGAGGAGGAGGAGGAGGTGGGCTCCTTTCAACTCCACCGTTCTATATGAAAATGTCAGGGGCTCAGAGCGGGGAGCATTGTTCCATCCACTCGGCCCATTCATAAACTGACACCCTCTCTGCTCGACCCACAATGCACAGCACTGTTTCTCCTGGCCCAGAGCACAGGGATGTGGCAGCGCTCAGAGCCTAGGTCAGTGCAAGAATCAAGAGTCCTCCGCACACTAGTATGCATCATTTACACTGGATGACACAAGAGGAATGCAAGCATTTTCATTAGACAGCCACACAGACGGCAGTGTTGCGGGACAGTAAAAATAATAAAGATCTCTCAGTAGTTCTTTGACGCTCATTATGTTAGAGGACCCACTAATTTTTATCAAGAATATTTCTGCTTTTTTATGTCGGAAAAGTGGCTAATTCATATAACGTCAAGCAATTTTGTTCATATGAATAGATGTGATTTTTAAAATGAGGTGTGCCCCCAAACCCCACCTCTAAACCTGATTGGGAGACGAGCAAATTGTACTAAAATGTGCAAGTTAAATTGTGCTAATTAATACATACTAGTCATTAAATCAAATTTCCATGAGAGGGCATTGGCTTTTATTAGCTTAGGTAAATGGTACTCTATTGGCATTAATCGTTCCAAGAGTATTTGTTGACATTCATGGCACCTTTTCGTTTCAACAAAAGGTTTTTTTAGTCAAAAGAAAACAGCACAGGCTCATTCTGAAAATGTACCCCTATATACATTTCTGGAGATCGCAAATTATGTAGCCAGAAGTACGTACGGCTGCATTTCGTCTGTAAAACGAACGCTATGGGGTGTTATGACGCCATTCCTTTTCACGCTTAAAAGCTGACCGCTTACCTCTGTATGAACGGCTTTCCTGCTGTTACCAGTTTGTCCGGTAGCTTGATGTGTTTGTTGGCGGACTTGAGACGCGGAGAGAAGTTGACCACGATGACGAGGTTTGAGTCCAGCGAAGAATAGTTCCAGAAAGCAGGTAAGGCAAAAACAGAAGCCGATAGATAAGTAAATAACAGGGTGAAAATGTGTTCAAATCGGAAAACGTGGTAAAAATCAGGCGAGGGCTTTTCTTTTTCTGGATTGCTTTACTAAAACTATTGTTGGGTTTTAGGAAGGAGTTTCAGTCGATCGATTGATCGGTCAGTCGACAGCGGCCTCTAGTGGATTTACGTGAGAAGAGCAGGCGCGAATGGCACTTGTGCGAGAAATTTGAGATCTCAAAAAGCGTACACAGCGGCCTCAAAAACGTAGCTCCTGCGATGTATTTGGCACTCTCCAGAAATGTATATAGAGCTTCGTTTTCAGAATTTTGTTCTCTGGGTTGCAACGAAAAAAAAGAATCTTTCGATTATTTACAATGCTACGCACACTAACAAAAAGATTATTTTAAGACCTATTCAATGCAACATTTTATAGAAACCACTTTTTTGTTTATTAGTGATGCTACATATATATAATAAACTTTTGGTTCCTCATTGAAACTTTGAGTGCACATTTCTTAAAATAAACTTTTTTTTTCTTAATGTGAACAACATTTTAATGATCTAAATGAATCTTTACGTTGTTAAGAATGTTTAATATAAAAAAGGTTCAATGAATATTTAAGGCTCTTCATGGAACCATCAATCTCAACCCTTTATTTTTTAACAGTATGTCACTAGGAATAGACCATTTTTGACCACTTTAAATTATAGAAAAACGCAAATAAGAAAATAAAATGCACTTTTTAAAAAAGTCCCAAAACAGTTTTCAAAATTACACTTTAGAAAAAAGCATTTCAAAAGAATCTATAAATGGGCGGCTCTTAAAATATCCATTTATTTATTAATGTCAATTTTTTAAAAATGATTTAAAGAACATTTTGGTTCTTGATAAGATCTTTAAAGATAGCTCATTGAATCTGAAATCTCATTTTAGTTTTCTAATAAACACACTGGCTTCTAGGGGTTTTAAATGACTTGTGAAGTCCTAACTTGGAGAAAATTTGCAGTACCGTAATAAAATGAGCTTCATTAACTGTCCATCATTTATTTTAACTAAAATATTACTAAATTATTACCTGTTTTTACTCAATAATAATCAAATATATTCCTGTAGAGTGAGTTTAATATGAACTGTTGGTTTTTGGTTTGACTGCATTTGAAGCTACTATGCTTTAAAAACAACAACAAAAGTTAATTCTTCATTGAAGCATGGAACAGAAATCTTGATTATTTGAAAATGTGTAGTCACAAAGTTTATGAGAATTCTACACTCTTAAATATAAAGTTTCTTCTGATTCCATTAAGAAGCTTCCACATACATATAAGTTTTCTATTGACCAAAAGTTCTGTATAGTGAAAAAAGAGATAAAAGGTTCTTTATAATATTCAACTTTTTACTTACACTTTATACTTACACAGTTCCTTTATCAACAGTTTACTGCAAGGGTTTTTAAGGAACTCAAAATGCTTCTATTATGCTTTTTGTGTGAAAACACCCATTTGAAACCATTTAGGAATGCATGTATCAATATGCCACTGCATATTAACAAAATGTTGAAAACAATGCCATGAAGTAACATCTAAACCAGGAGTACCCAAACTCCAAACTTGGAGGGCCGGTGGCCTGCAAAGTTTAGGTCTAACCCAATCAGACTAGCTAATCAAGGCTTTAGAGAAACATTCTTGCAGGTGTGTTGAGGCAAGTTGGTGCTAAAGTCTGCATGACACTGGCTCTCCAGGATCTAGTTTGGGCACCCATGATCTAAACACTCTGTGTCTTCTATGGTGACACTATATACTGCACTGTAAAATATGCAGGGATTCACACAATTCCTTTAAGTTGTTGAAACAAAAATCGAAAGCTTAATCAGTTTTAAATAGTTTTTATAATTTTAAGTGAATTAAATATAGAACAATTATATTTGAGAGTTATGTTGGTTTGATCCACATTAAATAAGTAGTTTGAACAAGCAGCAAATGTAATTTTTTGAGTGAGACAAACTGAAAGACATTTAAGCTCGTCTGAGTTGTCATTTCCAAACTTAAAGTGAAGTAAACATCGTCTTGAAGAAAACATACTGTTCCAGTAATTCCAGTTACAACACTCTACAGCAGAGAAATAAGTCAATCAGCATAGACGTAAATGTTCAACAAACACTACACTACACTACACACACTCCTGTCCCTTGTGCTTCTGTACATAGTGGCTATTGTTTGGGCCGTCCCGGGAAGAGAACAGGACGACCAGGCTGGAGCCTGACACCGCACTACACAGGGAAGTCGATGCGCACAGCTAATTGTCTTAAAAATCACAACAATCACCCATTCACTCTTGCCGTTTCACTGCTTTCTCTCATGGATGTTACAGTCATAATTAAGCACTAGTGTACGGGAGGCTGTGTTGTCACATTACACACAAACAGTGCACACAGATGGTCAAAACATAGTACTTTTTAAACTAAAAAGTTAAATATTACTAAATGAAGCAAGCATAATCCTTTATCTAATACATAGGTCAGTGGCACTTTACAACAATGGTCCATTAGTTAATGTTAGTTCATGTGTTTACTAACTTTAATTATGAATAATCTTGTGAAGCATTTATTAATCATAGTTCAACATTTACTAATGCATTTTTAAAATCCAAAGTTGTACTTGTTCACATTAGTTAATGCACACATAACTTAAATAACGTTAACAGATCATTAATTGAATTAATTAATGAAGCATTTTTTTAAAGTGTTACCCAGAGGTCCAGTTTTCAACTAATTTAAATAAAAATTATACTATTTCATATTTTAATTAAATGAACCAAATAACCTGATCAAAAAAAATATTAGAATCAGTAACATTGTGAAATATTTCTTTACATTTCAAACAACAGCAAGAAGGTTGCTGGTTTGAGTCCCGGCTGGGTCAGTTGGCATTTCTGTGTGGAGTTTGCATGTTCTCTCTGTATGGCTTTCCTACGGGTGCTCTGTTTTCCCCACAGTCCAAAGACATGCACTATAGGTGAATTGAATAAGCTAAATTGGCCGTAGTACATGTGTGTGAATAAGTCTGTATGGGGGTTTCTCAGGACTGGGTTGCAGCTGAAAGAGCATCCACTGTGTAAAACATCCTGGATAAGTTGGTGGTTCATTGTGCTGTGGCAACCCCTAATGAATAAAGGGACTAAGCCAAAAGAAAATGAATGAATGACAACTGATTTTGTGTTTGTTTATCAACGAATCCAGAAAAGTAGACGTATAACGGTTTCCATAAAATATGATACATAAACATTGATAATAAGGACATCAATCATAAGCACCAATAATAGCTGATCATAAGAGAGCAGCAAATCTACAATTTAAAATAATTACTGAAGGATCGTGTGACACAATGAAGAGTGGGCTGATGATGATAAAAGTCATCACAAAAGAATGTGCTGCATCACAAGTATTAATTTAAATCAAATATATTTAAACCAAAATATATACTTGGGGCGGCACGGTGGCTTGGTAGTTAGCAGTGTTGCCTCACAGCAAAAAGTGTGGAGTTTGCATGTTCTCCCCGTGTTCGTGTGGGTTTCCTCCGGGTGCTCTGGTTTCCCCCAGAGTCCAAGGGCTATAAAAGTGATTGGGTTAACTAAATTTGCCGTAGTGTATCAGTGTGAATGTGTATGGGTGTTTCCCAGTGCTGGGTTAAGGCTGGAAAGGCATCTACTGTGTAAAACATATGCTGGAATTAGGGATGCTCCAGTCGATTGGCCAGAGATCGGTATCGGCCGATAATCACATTTCATGACTCGATCGATACTTAATAATCTGTCCGATCTCATGAACCGACAACAAGTGTTTGTTTACAATATTACAGGCAGAGGACATACAAGTACAGAAATTTCATTAAAACCTAGCTGGAAATATTAGGGGGGA